TCTCTCCTTAAGATACCCGTAATGATGATTACATCTAATCAGAGCAAAGCGTTGAAAAACTTATCTTTGTAAAACTCGTTATGCCTATTTTTTAATTATTGTATTATCACCAGATGCAAAAGTTCTAACTGAAAAAAGTCAACGTTTTTACAGAAAAACGATAGGCTTGTATTGTAGATAATAATAACAAAGAAGTGACAAGAAAACCTGAGGCCTTAATGAATGAGTGAATCATATATTGTTTGAATCAAAATGGTTGGTTGTATAAAAATTTTAATAAAATTGATCAGCCTGAAATAATACAGCGCACCAAAATAGTTTGATAAAACTTTTCTTACAAAATATTGTTTTATTATAATTAAGAAATTTAGTTATTGTCTTGAGATCATGCATTGACATTGACAAACGTTTTACCCTCTGTATATTGTTGGCATATCGAATGCTTCTAAGATATGAAACGGGCAGACGCCCATACAGCGATAAACTATATTCATAAGAAGAAAACGCCAGTAAACGGCCTTTTATAAAAAGATAAATGAGAATTGATGATGCACAATCATTGTGTCTTTTTACCTACGTTCATATTTTTGCTAAATTCCGTGATTCTAGGTCAATGGGAACGACCATATAGGTTTTCGAAAACCTATACCACATACAGACAAGAGAGTGATCTTGTACGGAGTCTTTACCTTTTTAGTCTAAAAATTCCTGTAAGGAAGCCTAAAAATTTACTACTTAGTGGTCGAAGGTCATAATTTATCAAGCTATTTCAAGTCATTTCATCTTTTTGACCATAGACCATGACGTGTTTGACATTGATTGTATTAAAAAAACCAGACAATTTCAGATGATTTTCCGATGCAGGTAAATTGCCAATTAATTTCACTATTTATTTCTGGAGTTTAATGGTAAATGACTGATGTACAATTTTTAGGCCAAATTTATTGTTGCCATAATAAATGCTTTCGTTCAACTTGTTTTGCTTCTAAGTTTCCGCCACAAGCACAGCCTTGTTAAAGCATACGAAAAGATGTATTTACTATTAACAAGCTTAACAGATCGCCACAGCTGTAGTAATTATATTTAATATTCAATATTAAAACAAAATATATTTAATAGTTAATTTACTTACTGCCAAAATAAAAAGAAAATTGAATTGTCTATACTTTTAGTGGTACGCGATACATTTGAAAATATAAGCATTTAACTGACTTGTAAATAGTGTGTTGCTCAAATATAAATACATGTTAAGATAAGGCTAATGCACTTTGCACCCAAGAAAAAAAAGCGGTCAAAAGTACAGTTGCATCGTATATCAACTATTACAACAATTTTATATTCGAACAACATAATTCATTTTATAGTGACATAATCATCAAAATAAAGTTTTGAATTAAAAATCTAATATTTATTTTTTGGTACCCTTAAGCCTATAATACTTACATATTTATTTAAATAATATATGACAATTTGTTATTCATTCAATTAATGTATAGAAATAGTCAAGTCTAAATAAATAGGTCTTTCATATATTTCGTGACATATTTAAATGATAAGCAGCGTACTAATAAGAAACTACTTGATGTTTCCATACTGTTTAAAGTTAAAAGTTATTTCTAAGATGAATTGTTCACTTGTTGGAAACTAACTAATATTTTTTTTATATGAAAATTGGCAAACGAACTGGCGGCCCACCAGATTGACGCATTTGCAACACCCGTAGGGTTGAAAATGCGTTGCCACCTTTAAAATGGTTGCCATAAAATGGGCCCCGGCTACCTCACTCATCAAACCAAACGCAGAAGTTCATCACATCTACTTTACGCCAGTCTTCCGTGTAGTTGTGTAATTACTCGGATGGACCTGCCCATTCGTGCAACAGTGAAAACTGTTACGTGGCCCTATCACAGCTGTACCTGTTCTTAAAGTATTTAACAATGAATACCTAATGATAATAGTTTCAAACAACAGTGTGATTCAAAAATTAAAAACAATCGAACTACATATGTAGACAAATTAATATTATTTGATTTCAGCAGTACGTATTTCATGTAAATCGATTTCCTTGTTGCCAACGAATTTCCAGTCTGAACAATTAACATTTACTTTTCACAGCCCCAGTCCAGACACATACATAATTAACGACATATTAGATGTTATTATAATGAGCGAGTAATGACTGTTTAAGAGAAGGATCACTTGTAACTAGGAGAAAATAAATGCGAATGGTAACATTTTTCCCGGATGCGACCTCGTCGTCCGCTTGACGTCAAGCGGAAATATTTTGTGTTGTCTGGAACCGAGATTCAAGCGGATATTTTGGCTTTAATTTAGACTTTATCTATCATTTTTCATAAAAAATAAAAACGATCGTTTAAAAATATCGTGAGAGACTGGAAGAGTGATCGAACATGTCATTAACTTAATTGAGCGCCTCGTTGATTTATTTTAAATTAAATAAGATGAAATCTATAATTATTAATATGGACGTCATGTGTTTATGAATATTGTGTGTATTAATAATAGTATTTAATATCTTTTGGTTTTGTAAGAAGGTGTCTTTTCATTACACTAATGCTTCTTGCTGTAGAGTAATTAGTTTTTCATAAAATTGGAGGAAAAATAGAAGTAAAGGTAATCGGCATCAATGACTGTAATTAACGTTCTGTTCAAATTTTTCCTATTATAATATGCGGAAAGTTTGAAAGTTTGATTGTTTGGTAGAAGTGTCATTTACAAACAGACTAGTGTACAAATCAATATGAAATCGAAAACCATTTTTTTAACAAATTCTAATTCGTATCAATCGATTAGGCTCATTTTTAACCTTACAGTCACAGATTTAATATGTAACCTAATAAGATATAACACATATATTAGGCGTAATTTAAAAACAAATTTGTATAGATCCCGAACCATACGTAATTATTTACAAATTTGTGAAAGATCCCGATAGGTAGTATTGTCAAATATCCATACTAACCGTGCAACCTAATAACTTCTAATCATAATAATAGCGAAATCAGCGCGTCAATATTAATCGAAAGCATTACACTTTAGTGCAATCGCAACAACAGTCCTCAGCGATGTGGTTAATGCGGCAACTCTAGCAAATAAACGAGCGAGATAGACTGCCTATGTGTGGGTAATGGAGTTTCGATCAGCGCGTAGGCGGTCGTGTGCATTGGATTTCGGGCGCTGTGTGCGTGGGCGCCCCTCGCCCACCCTGGCAAGGTCACGCAGTATGGCTATAGTGTAGAGCGATAGGACAGGTGTATAGGAATGGAGCCAGAGCCAACGGTATGATACGACTTTACCTATGTATAATCTATCTCTAATGTCAATCAGATTCAATGTACACCCGATTATGTTTGTAAAAAATATCCAGTTTCATTTCGGCTGCGAAATTTTGGAACACTATTTCGACAGATATATGAATGATGACTTCTTGAAAAAACGGAATGTGCATGAGACTTTATTGCGATATCTTTCAATCGATCAAACTTTTTTGTGTATTATATTTTATGTTTCTCTTAATCTTTATTGCACTTTATGAATAATTGCTCATTTAAACGTTTTAAAGGATATTGTATTAAATTTTTATATACATTATTAATAAAGTTATCTCTACAAATAAAGTTGAAACTCAAATAAATAAATAAATAAATAACAATTTAGACACTCCAAAATTATTTTGTCTTTATGTATAAAATAGCTTTTCGTGTCGATTTTAATCATTCGTTAATTAATAAAATAAATGTTTCATTTCGCATCTAACCTAGGTGTACTACTTACATAATATTTTAATGAACCCAAATTTACCGCAGACAGTTGCTAACAACCAACAGGGTATAATTGAAACAATCGAGCTTTCATTAAAAGCAAATTAGTTTTAGATAAACTTATTCGATAATGGTACAAAGTTTCCCAATAAACCGATACTCGTACTGATCCCGATAATAGGATGCCGAGTGGGGTTGCAAATTCTAATTTATAATGACGGGCGTCTGAACCGTGGGTGTTTGAAAACTGATCGCCTACGCGCGCTCCCATCGGAAAAAGAGTTTTCCATACCTGTATGACGCACGTGCTATTTGTTGAATAACTCCGAACGACTTATTTACTACTTATTTACCGAACGATTACTTTTTTTTTATTATTACCTACTGATTTACTATTATTCTGATGACTCCCTGGCGCTGTTGTAAAGTCGTGGGTTAGATTCTCACACAAGTACCTATTTGTGTGACCTATAAATAATTATTTCCGTTCTGGGTGTTTGTCCACGTGAAATTTATGTTTGTAAAACGCTCTTATAATACAGGATAATGTTATCCTGCATAAAGGCCAATGTTTTAAAAAAAATTACGAAAATTTCTATGATTGAAAGTAATTGCAAAACGCCTACGATACGCATATAAATACAATCATCACAAGTCACGAATACGTTGTCATAATTTGGCACTTTATTTCTTTAACAATTACGTTATATGATGTAAGAGAGAAATTTTCTGATATTTTTTCTATCAATCAGCGGTATCAATAACGCGCTCCTTTCCCTTTGAGTGACGTTTAAAGGACGGTTTGCTTGATGCCACGAAGGTCCGTTCACGCTTGCACGCTTAAATTATACTTGCGAGAAAAAGTGTAGGTAATGTGCTGTGAAAGCCGAGTATTATAGTGACAACGTAATGCAAAATGAGTTTTATATTTTTTTATACTTTTAATTATTTTTTTTATGAACAATAACGTTTTACAGCTTAATTGCCTTTCAACTATATGTAAAAAACACGTAATTAAAGCATAGAATATTATAATTTTTAAGATTGACACAGTGAAAAGTCCACTGTAAACATGTCAAATACAACGATTTGTTGTGAGAATCATAGGTTATTGTATTAAATATTTTACATTTTTAAATTAAGATTTACTCAATCGTACCTACGTTAACGTTAACCCATAGGCGGGAAAGCGGTAATGCTTGATTAAATGCAAGTGCTATGGAACAAGCCACCTATAAACACACTGACCTAACACCCTGTCCCCTGCCGCCCTACAATCACCCCACACCCCCACACATATGCACGCTGTTGAACAATGCAAACACGTACACAATGATCTCTCTCCAATACATGCAAGAGCGGATCCCCTCGCGCACTGAAACCTGCAGCCGCACACATGCAAAGATAACGGGAAAAGTCCACGTATCTTTGTGGTCTCTATGCTCCACACACACACTATTGTGAAACGTGTTTCTAACCGCTACATCGAAGGCGGCTGATTCTGCAGCGTTGCCGTAATGAAATGGGCTCGTTTCTTAGTGACGGAAAAATAAATAGAGTCATTAAAAAGAGCATGACTCATAAATTCTCATGGATTACAAATCTAATGGATGTGTTCCGAAGGAATGGAAAAAAATTACCTCTATAAATTTTAATGTTAAACAGGAAAACTGAAAGACGTCATATGTGCGTGTTTCTGTATGGTTATGTTACTGAATATTTTAAACGCATAAATTGTGCAATCGTGCACGTACCTCATGACCTAATTTTAATATTTTATAAGTTGTTTATAATAAACGAGCTACCCGCCCCGGCTTCGCGCGGGTGCAATGTTTTATACATAAAAACCTTCCTCTTGAATGACTCTATCTAGTAAAAAAACCGCATCCGTTGCGTAGTTTTAAAAATCTAAGCATGCATAGGGACAAACAGACAGCGAGACGACTTTGTTTTATACTATGTAGTGATTTTATCGTGAATTTATAATTTTTTTTATATTTAATTAAAAATGAATATATTTGTACATAATGGTTATTAATAAGCAGAGATGTATCTTTTTCAAATGGTGAAGCATTATTTACGAGTTATTCAATAACTACTTAATAGATTACTGTTTAGCACAATTAACTTCGACATCTAAGCATATTAAAATGTTTGACTTTCTTATATAAATACAACTCTTAGTACACATAAAACTTCAGATTTCCAGAGGAATAAATTTGATTCAGCTAATTTCCTATGAAATAATTATTTCAAACAGAGATAATGAAAAGTGTAAAATGTCTTTTTGAAACTTCAAAGATGTTTCTGGACATAAAATATATATGTGATAATAAATATTCATCATTTCAAATAAATTATTTAAAGATAGTGCATACATTACTTGGCCCAGTATAAGTATTTTCTTTCTATTGTAGTCGATACCTCTATCACCAACTCTACAATTTCAGTCGTAGATTCTAGGAAAATTTTATTCCAAGTGCCATTGGCTTTTTATTCCTTGTCACTCAAGTTCCGTGGCGTGCGAAAGCATTGATTCAACCTGTCAACTTCACCCTTAGCAGGTGCAGATGACACTCCGTTTTTTGATTTTTAATTCAAGAAACGATTCTTTGTTTAAAAATGTTTAACATACTGTTATTTGACGCATAATGATATACTGATAATGGGTTTGTCATATTATTAATACTAATATACAAAGATATAAATTGACCTTTTGATTATTGGTTCATGTAAAAAAGGAAAGTTATATGTACAGCTAATATTAGAAGATATAAAAGCTGTTTGTACGAAATGAATAAGCCCTTAAATAATAAACAAATTTAGTTAAGTTTTCTCTAAGTACAGTAGTGTAATTTATCCGAATAAAATTCAGTTTATAGCCAAAATTACAGTATTTTTTTATTAAGCCGGAAGAAGGAGCTAAAGAGCTTCTATACAATATAAACTTTGCGAATGTGTTGACTGTTTTCATATGATAAAGCATATTGATTAATAAAAGTGAATAATATTTATGTTTCGAAAATTTATTACGGAAATTTTACATACAATTATCTTCCTGCAATTTATAAATCAAAACAAAAGTAAGAGCTCAAAACATTCTAAAGACAATTATTCAAAAATGAAATATTACGGACCTGATAAGCATGAAATTTATTCTTCCATTTAGACGTGAGCCTATGAAAAGCGGGACATTCAGTTCCTTCATTAATATGAAATTACTTTAAAGCCATTACGGTAAAATTACGGTAGTTGAAATAATTTTTTCGGTACGATGTAGCCCCGAGCCATTATTCATTCTACAAACACTTTGAGCGGTAGCGAGCTGTCAACATTACCGTATCCATAATATATCGCACGAGACGATAGGTCGCACAGATTTGCATAATGACCCCACTATCAGCCCACATGACCCCGTTTTTTACCTAATCGGCCTACGGCGGTCGGTGCGTTCGCTTTGTTTTCCACTTTACGCAGATACCAGCTCCATTCGCTACATTGCAAATGTGTCCTTATCTCCGTGTATTACCGGCGCTACAATCCCTCACTCTACAAATTATTGTTGATGTAGAGTTTGTAGATATAGCATAACATGTTTTCTTGCGAACATGTTACTTTGTTAAAATGTTACTTCAATTCATAAAAAAAAGTAAAGTAACAGCCTATATATGTCCCACTGCTGGGCAAAGGCCTCCTCTATAGAGAGGGTATCAGGGCATAGTCCACCACGCGGCCCCACTGCGGATTGGCGGACTTCATATATCTTCGAAATATATATATTTTTTTGTTATTATTTCGAAAATATGCAGGTTTCCTCACGATGTTTTCCTTCACCGCGGAGCGCGTGATAAGTCAGCACTTAAAGTTAAAAACTTCATTGGTGCCGGCACCGGGGATCGAACTCAGGTTACTCGAGTATATTGAATTAAAGGCGAGCGCCCGGACACTGAGCTATCACGGCTTTAATTCATAAACTAACCCTTTTTACCTAGCTCGACTAGAATCAGTTTTAATCAATATTTTTTTTTCTGTTCGTTACAGATAGCAGCTGTTGACGTCCACAGAAGCAGCCAGCCAACCGGCGAATCTCGTTCTTTCCCCGCTCCCTACACCCCCTTCAAGATTGCTGCCACGATGGGTCGGAAGAAAATACAAATATCCCGGATCACAGACGAACGGAATCGGCAGGTAAAAACATCAATTATTATTAATTGAATGTGAAAATAAAACACATTTTACGTCAAACGAAGTTATAACGAAGCAATAACTTTCCTTCATTTAGTGTACGGACTATTTTAGTTTTTATTCTTAGTATTCATCATCGTCAAGACATCTGAATCAGACATCAGACTGTTGAATAAAGGTATCCTCCTTAGAGCGCCACAATAAACGACACTTTATTATTTGCGTTATCTTACGATGAGGTTGGTCCGCCTAGTAAAAAGCTTTCCAATCTTCTAGTTCGTAGTCGGCACTGGAGAACTTTTACTCTCCATCCATCATCAATTTTTCCGCGCGGTTTGACCTGCTATTGCCACTTCAACTCTCAAATTCAATGAGCTATGTACGTGACTTTGGTTGTTTTACGATGAATTATCTTTTTCCGGACTTTGTCACGCTAAGCACAGCTCTCTCCATAGCTCATTGGTGACATTGATGCCGAGTCCATCCCACTTCAAGATCTTGAAAACATCCTCCAATATGGTCGTGAAAAGTTTCGAAGAAATGTAGACTCCCGTCTCACGTCTCTCAGCAATTAGATTGCGTTTGCACTCTCGTTCTGTAATCTGATAGACATGGTGGTATTTCTACAAAAATGCTTCAGTACTTCGAAATACCTATACTTTACTTGGTATCGCTGAAAATACTGTAATACAGCAAATTCAAATATGTTCATAAAATATAGAAGCATTAAACTTACTTATGATTGCCAAAAAACACTACTTGAATGAGAGCGATTAATTCATTTCCATAATGTGTTATCATTTAAATAATCACCAATATTATAATAGCTTTTACCACACCATCGTTCTTTTACAAGTTTTCATTAAATTTAGCAACTGATTTATTTTTCACATTGTACCATAAAGGATTTACTTATTCAATTTAGATGAGCTAATCCACAAAAATATTTTTTATCTGCGTAGAGATCGAACCCAATACAGTTTTGTTCCTACACAAGACACACAACAGGTGATGTGAAAATATTTTTTGTCGTATGGAATAACTTTGATGTATCGGAAAGTTGTGGCGCATATAACAATAGCGTTCATTTACTTTGGATCCTTACAAACTGATCTTTTTTATTACGGTTTGCTTTAAAGCTTATGTGACCTTAGCGTCTCAACCGAGCAGATGCGGTGTATCACCACTCTCCCACTGCAAAACATTATCGCAAAGGGACAATGACCGCTCCCGTTAGTAATTTATTAATTATACAATTACACTGTATAGTATTCACGTCCAGCTTATCTTGACCCTTTGCCAAACAAGCAAGTTCCCCATTACCGTTTTAATCTCGCAAAAAGTAACCGGTGGGGAAGCTCATGGGTGGATGGCTCTGTAATATGGGAGTCAGACGACTGAAATGGAAGTTGCGAAGGTTAATCTGCGTTTTGACGGCCGCTTTAACCTTGACACTATACTTGCAATATTTCTACTATTCTTTATTTCAATGTTAGTAAAGTCAACATTAGGTATATTATATTTTTAATCACCAACTATCGATTAAGATGTTAAATTTTATAATAGGTAATTGTTAATTAATGTATCTATTAACGAGTCAATAATTAATGCAACGACGTACCTACATGAAAATTTTCGGTCACTTTCTATCATAACAAAATACGCAAAATCGTCAAATGATTTGTTGGTCAGCACCCGCTTTTGTTTTAAGGAAAACGAAACTGAATTAATAGCCAGTAAACGACCGCAGAATTGGCACGATTAAATGCATACGGGGTGTTGGATATGGTATTTTAAATTGCAATGCTGGCCCGACATAATGAATATACTTTATTACATTTATTAATATCAATGTCCGTGACCGAGTAAAAGCAGAGCAAAGAGCTACCGTATCGTTTCCATGTCGTTATTGATGATTTTATTTAACAATTATTCACTTCTGTAGACCCCGTCGCTTATACAAAAAAAACATAAGTTATTATTAAATATTACAATAATCATCCTTTTCTCGATGTTGGTTATAGCGAATTCGGCATTATGGCATAATAAAGTAAATAACATTAATTTTACTTTTACAGTTACGTGGTGCTTTGTGTTAAAAACGAGGTTGTTTAAAATAAATTCTTTCACATCGATTTCTTTATGCTTAAAAATATACTGGACTGCAAGGCCAATCTGATCAATGATTATATAAACCTACAAATTAATTGTTATCGAGTGTGAATGTACATACACCGAAATTCAACCTTCCCCTGGCCTTATTGCTCGATCAGATATGGAAAGGTTTGCACTAGTTAGTTCTGATCGCATATAATAATGAAACTGTTAACATTTGATACAAACAAAGCGTCTGTAGTCATATAAAAAGATTTCTATTTTAATAAGGTAATTTTTTCGTTTCCCAAACATTAAATTCTTGCTTAGATTTAATACAACATTTTATTTAAAAACTTTTGACATTTAGTAATTCCGTGAATTAACAATAAAAAGAGTTCAGTTAAAATAAGGTATTCCAACAATAATGAGCCTTAAATTGAATAAATTTATTATCGTGACTAATGTTTAATTACATCGCTGTATAACTGCGAAAATTCTTCAATATTTTCAAGGTATTCATTTTATGTTTAGTCTGTAACCTGCAGTACAGTTCAATGGCATATCATACTTCATACAACTCATTTGATCTCTGACAAATGAAATGTATCTTAAAGTTTTAAAAGACGTTAAGTGCAGCCGATCATATTTATATACGACATCTGCTATCCCGTGCATTAATCTTGCGTTGTCTGTAAACGAGTCTGAGTTTTTATCGTCTTAAAAAATTTAAATTATTTATTGTTCCCATTTTATACGTTTGTTTTAACTTTAATTATACCTGGAGCTAAAGGGAAGGGACAAACACTTGACGATTAGCATACAATTAAAATTTTCCTTTCGAATTCCAGGTTACCTTCAACAAGCGCAAGTTCGGCGTGATGAAGAAAGCCTACGAGCTAAGCGTACTGTGCGACTGCGAAATCGCTCTCATCATATTCAGTTCCAACAACAAACTCTACCAATATGCCAGTACCGACATGGACAAGGTAAGCTGACACGAAAATAAGCAAATACACTGGCAAATTTAATCAAATTTATTAGATATTGAAAGTGTTATTTTCTAAATGTCTTTGGAAAATTTGTGATAACTGCCTTTTAATAAGTTAACTAATTTCGTTTTCATGCCCATACGAGTAAATAAATAAATATTCAAAGGCAATAACTGAAACTGGATTTTTTTTTTTATTACCGCTAGTAATCTGTATTTCACATTAAGCCGTAATTTGCTTTTGCCACTTAGCCCGAATTAAATTACTTTTATCAAAGACAATATTATCGTCAAAATTGTTTTTTCTCGTCGTTTTTACTAATATCCAAGTTTTTGAACGACATTTTAGTGAATCGTATACATTAGCATAATTTTGTTTTTTGGCCGAAATTTGAACTCGGCGAAATAAATAGCTAATTAACAAGCCAATCCCCTTTTTAGCGGCAATGTTTCTACCAAGGACGTTTGAAATCTCTCTCGCCAGGTAGAAAATCACTTAATCGAGATTCAACGAATAATATTTCTTGCAACGTGCTATTAGTACTTGTATCATATCATGCAAACTCCCTAAATTATCGAAAAAATTGCTCTCTGAATGTAAAAATACATTTAGAAAACGTCACAAATAAATTTACACAATTATTTAACTTAAATCTTAATGTATATTTGTAAGCGCCATTTATACTATATAATACATTTAGGGTTTATGTAATTACAGGTTCTACTGAAATACACGGAATACAATGAACCACACGAGTCGCTGACGAACCGCAACATCATCGAGGTACATGAAGTACGGCGTCATCTGTGTGCCCGTGATCGCAATGCAATGTCCATGCAAAATTGACTTATCCCATTAACCGCGTGCTTTTACTCACATACAAACCTAATGCATACATCTGTTACTAAAAAAAAAACTAGAAAAAAGAAACGAAATATCGAGAAAAAAATCAAAATAAAATGGCCGCCGATTACCCCCAGCACTTCCGTAAAGATACGAATCACGAGTTGAACACGCGTAGCGAAGCTAGAATACCGACCAGCATGCCAGTTTCCTGTTAGAAAAAAATTGAACAAAAAAAAAAGAAAGAAAAACACCAGTCCCTCGTGTTTTGTACTAACAGTTTACGACTAGACACCCCAAATGTTTATGTTATTTTTTCCTAGTACAGCATGGGTTTTATAAATATTTTTGTGTTTATTTGAATTAACCGTACCTACCTGACTGTTATGTGATACAAGGGTAAAGTCAGTGTTGTATCATTGCATTCGACACTACACACAAATGTACGCTAAAAAATTTCACGTACAATTTATTAGAAATTAGTCGTTTTATATATTTTATTTTATATAATGCACTTTATTCCAACCCTCCACTACATCCATAAAGCAAATGGAAAAAAACAACGCTTACATCGTTCGTCTGTTGTAGATATTAAAAACACTAATGGTTTGTATAGAGGGTGTTCTAATTTTGATGCATGCAAAGTAAAACCCGGAAAGTATATACGATTTTGGCTCGTCAAGCCACCTGAGCTGGTTTCGCTGACACTTACAGGCACTAACGAAGAAGGAGCATAAGAACGGAGTGATGTCGCCTGACAGCCCGGAGGCCGAGCCAGAATACAATCTCACGCCGCGCACCGAGGCCAAATACTCCAAGATCGACGAGGAGTTCCAGATGATGATGCAGAGGAACCAATTGAACGGGAGCAGGGTTGGGGTGGGCGTGACGGGCAGCAACTACAATCTGCCCGTCAGCGTACCAGTGGGGAGTTACGACCAGTCCATGCTACAAGCAAGCCCTCAAATGCACACCTCTATCAGTCCACGGCCTTCGTCTTCGGAAACCGATTCTGGTAAATATTTCAGGCTTAGTCTTGCAACAACTCCTGCTCCATTCTCCACGAGGACATTAATTGCCCAACGTATGAGTTTCTCCGTGCCCAGATGTCGTCTACTTAAATTATACACGAAATTTTATGGGAAGGTCCGTCCGGGTAAGTACCACGACCTTGCGAAAGACCGGCGTGAAGTGGAAGTGTTACACTTTACACTTCTGCGTTTCTGCGAGTGACGAAGCCGGGGACTTTACTATAACGTGGCAACGCATCCGCAACCCTACGGGTGTTGCAACCTCACGTGCACCGCCAGCCCGCTTCTCGCCTTCTTACATGAGAAAAAAGGAATAAATCCTCAGCATCAGCTGTTGCCATACATTAACGCAACCAACGACCGAAAGTTGGCATGCGTGGCTCAAGCAGCCGTTACAAGGTCGCGGAAATTTCAGTATACCCGAGCGGCGGCATGCTGGAGATGTCGAACGGGTACCCGGGGTCCGGCTCGCCCCTGGGCGCGGGCTGCACCCCCTCGCCGTCCCCTGGGCCGGCGCCCTCGCCGCACCGCCACCCGCACAAGAGCCACGCCCACGTGCCGCCGCATCACTCGCCCCGCCACAACAACCTGCGCGTCGTCATACCGAGCTCCATGCCGCCGCCGCAGGACGACATCTCTTACACCGGAGAGGTCAGCGAGGCCCGTTGCTATGACTTGTTTTTTTTTTGTATTTTGTTTTTAAGAACAGTGCATCTCTTACACAGGAGAGGTCAGCGAGGCCCATCGCTACTGCTAGCTGTTTTTTTTTTAAATTTCAACAAAGGACATTTTCTTTTTAAAAACATTGCATCTCTTACACCGGAGAGATCAGCGAGGCCCATTGCTACGAGCTGTATTTTTTTTAAGTTTTCTTTTTCTATTTTATTTTTAAAAGCATTGCCCTTACTTTAGGATAACATTATCCTGCGTTACAAGGACGTTTTAAATACATCACTCGGATCCAAAAAAAATTGTCTATGGGTCGTACAAATAATTGTATTGTTTAGCAAATCATTTATTGAGTCAGACATGGGACACATATCCATAACGCTAGGGCCTAACACGTGCTACGTTGTAGATGACTTGGTGCTCATAAGCAGTTGCCATCTGCTACTAATAGGTATCTAATGAAAGATACCGTTAAAAACCCACTCAGATATATACTTCATCGACAACCATAGGAAGGCATCTGCTGATATTTGAGTTCAACTGATTCTGCTCATGATGACCGCCGAAGTCAAACTGTAAATTTAATTTCTGTTTTAAATCGCAATTTTTTTTCGTTGCAGACACCGCTTAGCTACTCAGGACTTGGAAATTTTGGACCGCAGGACTTCAGCATGACCTCGGATATGGGAATCGGACTATCGTGGGGCGCCCACCAATTGCAGACGCTTCAGCACAACAGGTACATGTCTGTGCCCAAATTTATTTTTTCTAAAAATCGCCTCATCGATTAATCATCCAGTAGTCATATGGAATAGTCGCCAATTATTTATTCATCGCACCGCATTAAAGTTGGGCCAAAGTTACAGTTAACTAGGTGCCATATTATCGTTCAAAGTAAAAACATAAATGTAACCAAACAAAAACGAAGCTTTTTGTTACAGATATACCTAAAAGAATTTAGAAGTATCCAATATTCGTTTACTATCCATTCCTGAGTAAAAGACTTACGGGAATAAGTTGCATTGTATTTAATACACTTTATTTTCCGCTTTATAACATTATTTGAAAAATATCGCCGTTCTTAATGCAGAGTCATAATTTTTCCAGTCTTTCTTGGAAGTTATTTTGTGATCATAAAATGTTAACATGGAAAATATTCCACATGGTTACTCCACCATTCATTCCATTTAGTTAATAATCAAACCATAATCTCTGGCTTAAATACGAGTAACATGTTGTACATAATAACTAACAAGACTTTTTTATCAGCGTATTTTGGATTAATTTAATAAACAGTAATGCAGTTAACTTCTAAAACGAAAAATTATGTCAAAAATTCCTCGAATTTTTAAATTACCTGTGAAAACTAAACATTTCTGTAACTCGTTTAACTATTCACAAGAACTAAATATAATAAGTGAAAATCTAACAATTTCCTAATCTGAATTAAACTGATTTCAACTATTTAAAAATATAAGTTAAAATTGGTGAATCGATGACGAAAGTTTTGCTCTCGCAGCTTGCCCGTGCTGGGTGGTGGGGGGACCCCTCCGCCGGCGCCGTCGCCTAGCAACGTCAAGATCAAAGCGGAACCGGTTTCGCCGCCGCGCGCCCAAGACCACATGCACCGCGCCGCCCCGCCCGCCCCCGCACCGCAACCCGCGCATCTCTCTGGAGTCATTGATGGTGAGATAATGTCGCATCGCATTCTTCTTCTTTATTATTTCTCTGAGCCGTGACAGCTCAGTGTCCGGGCGCTCGCCTTTAATTCAATTTACTCGAGCAACCTGAGTTCGATCCCCGGTGCCGGCACCAACGAAATTGTTAATTTCAAGTGCTGAATTATCATCAGTGCTCAGCGGTGAAAGAAAACATCGTGAGGAAACCTGCATATTTTCGAAATAATAATAAAAAAATATATTTCGAAGATATGTGAAGTCCGCCAATCCGCAGTGGGGCCGTGTGGTGGACTATGCCGTGATACCATCTGTACAGAGGAGGCCTTTGCCCAGCAGTGGGACATGTATAGGCTGATACTTTACTTTTTTATTCTTCTTTTCGTGTCGATGACAACGCATGTTCACACGGTATCCACCCAAAATTCACCCACAAGGTTTGCACCGTCACCATCATTGAAAGGCACTGTCTTTCAAGTAAATCAGTGCCTCTCTGGAAAAACATGCAAGGTGTAACGATACAAGGCCGTGAGCACAATAGGTAAGATTAGTAAGCACTTCTGCGTATGTTCTTTAAGAAGAAAGCTTTGACCCACTATCCTCAAAATTTTTGTACTATGTTATCCAGACCTACTTATATAGTAACGTACAAACGCCCCACTGTATAACGAATAAGTATGGATGCAGGAAGACTTATGTCTTCCTTAGCTCCTGCTATGGTGAAATACTTCACCCTTTTGTTTTTGGTATCGGGAGGGAAATCTTCAAAAGATATCCTGTTTACTTGGTTCTTACCCACTGAAACCCCCTCGGTGGCCACCTTCTGTACAACCCACCTTCTGTAGAAGGATAAACCTTCTCCGGTTCCCTTGCCCTCTTGCAGCAGCACGAGACCACTTCGTGGTGCTGCCAATCCGTGTCCCCTTTTAGTCGCCTTTTACAACAGGCAGAACATACCTTAGCCCTATTCTATGAGCCCGGGACTACAGGGCTGGAAATACATCACCCTAAGCTATGAGATCAAAACTACGAGGAATTCCATACTATAATTCTACAGCCTACGTAAAATATATCATTTAGCTCAAAATTTATCACTGGTTTGTTAACCCCAGCCTAATCAGAGAAAATTTAATTCGACCTGGCAGTTCATGTGAAAGCAAATACTCGTACCGTTGCACACTGGGCTACGCCCGAGTGTCTAAATCATTATTAATTACTCAGTAGCTGTTAATTAATTAATTTGATTTCTAAGGAAAATGTATTAAATAACACAAAGTTAAAGCTTATCCAGTCTCAAATTAAAATTATATCTCAATTTTAATTCAAAATATATTGTTAATTCTTATTCCTTTCACTTTATTCAAAGGACTGGTACGGTTGAACGTAATATAAAAGGGTGCTAATTGATCGGCTATTAATCTCTACATTATGGATTAGAGCGCGATGTCAAATTGTGCGTTCGCCATTACAGGTTCTGTAACGTCGAGTAACATGGGCTCGCCTGCCGGGCAGGATATGAGGCACACCAACGCTGTACCACTCGACTACGAGCAGCCTCACACTAAGAGACAACGGATCGAGGGTTGGGCCACATAGCTAGGCTATGAGGCCTTCGGTCCGTATCCGAGGCCCCTCCACCCGCACTGCTAAATCCTCGCAGGCCCCTCCCAGGCCCTACAGCGTGGCTGCATCCCCCGTCGAGCTTCGGCACCGTCCTAAGTACGATACAGTCTCGCTCCATTCAACGGTGCTGGTTTGGTGAACACACGGTCAGTGCTAACTACTCGGTGAAGTCTGAAAGGAAAAGGTGCATCTGAATTGACGGTGCTCCATGTTTGATGGCACGGTGTCTTCGCGCGTCGCCCTCCGCTGATACCCTCAAAATATCTAACGCAATGTCGGATAGAAACTGATGTACGCTAAATCGTTTCCCTTGTTATTATGATAAATCGATGTTGATGCAAAACTAAATGTTCACTACCCTTCTATTATACGTAATTACTATTATTGCACACGCGAGAACACTAAAGAATAAGATTTATTGTTAAAATTAAGTACAATGTTATGATTAAAAAGCAAACCTTCTGAACAATTTTTATCTTAAAAGTACATACATACATACGTATAGATAGATTTGCTAACTCCTCTGTATATAGAAACGTTATATGTACAATCCGTGCCATTGTCTGTTTAGCTTAAAATTTAGTCAATTTAAAGTTAGTGATAAGTATACAACACAAACAAACACTGAAGTTCAAGTGAGCGAACTATTTCAAGCAGCCGGAGTGATGTAGTGCGCAGAAGGAAAAGACCACAATACTGTGTGAAAGTGCGTTTGAGACTAAAACGACTGTTAAAATTTGTGTTAGTGTTTTAAAAAAAGTTTTTTTGTGCCATTTTAAAAATATAATCATAGTGTGACATCCGAACTTTGAATCTTTGTAAATTAGGTAAGTGTAGTGTCATCACAGAAGATAATAAGTTATGTATTGGAAAATGTATCTATTGACATATTTATACATGAGAATCATAATGATATTTACATAATATGTATACACGTCCCGTTAGGAACGAATGTTATGTAATATAAGTAGATAATCTTAGCTAGAGTTGAGTATATAAAAGTACCACACGAAGCTTTAAAATTCTTATGATAACACTCGCACTCTAAGCAGTCTTGTAAGTTAACAAACACGGTTTAAGTATACCATAATAAATTAGAGCTCTTCGCCATTCAAACCCGGACCTTTATCAAAATATCTAGCCGATGATCTCATCGAGATCGCAATCGTGTTCCTTATATCGTATAAGTACACAGTTTTCGCTAAATATGTCTATGTTTTATGAATCAATCGAATTGAATACAACGTGCGGGCGTTTCTCATTATCAGACCAAAAATCAAAGTCAATTTTGAATATCATAAAATGTAAAACCGTACTTGTAAAGTACCTCCTTTAGTATTTATGTATGTATTTACCGTTTAGCGGCTGTAATCGGTTACTAGATGAAAGTTAATGCTTGTTGTTAGGACACTGTTGTTTTGTTAATGTGATCTGAAGCTATATCGATTTTATTAAGAAAATAACGTAATGATTATATTATATATATAATATATTATATATCGTGACAGTAAACAATACGATTTGTGAAAAATATAAATAGCTTTACACATTCTCAAAAAAATATATTTATCACACATGAAATTTCATATTTTGGTACAGCACTATAAAATCACGTCCGCCCTATTTTTTAGAAATAAATGTGTAATCAGTATAGATAACGGTAAATATAGTTTTTAATGATATAAATAAAAAACAGCATAATTATATAGCATGTAAATGTATCAATTGTTATTTCATGAAGTCATTGTCGCTGATAGAAGAATCATTTGTTCCTTTGTTTCGCAGAAAATCAAGTCAGTTTGAATTAATACAAAGTTATAACATAAACAGCTTGTAGTCCTGAGATGAAATTTTGTTTTCTGTTATCATTGATTCCCTTGTATCCCCTCACTGTAGATGCCTTACCCACAGTGCCTATTGTAACCATTTTATACCAAGTTTATACTAAGATAGCACTTTTGCTTGAACCTTTTTCAAAATCAGGCAAATTTAAATAACTGTAATGTACATATTGTTGTTGTTACATTCACTTATCATTAATTAAAAAATGTTGTGGAACGAAGTTAACTGATGTCTTGAATTTTCTTCGGAACTATAATATTATACAAAAAATACTGTTTTTGATGGAAAAAAAAATGTGTTTGTAAATAATTAGAAATATATTAAGCTAAACACGTATTAATATATTGATTAGAATCCTTCACATCACAATAACAAAATTTTAATGTGTATTTGTTATATTTGTACAGGGATGTAACCAGTTTCGATGTTCAAAAGTCTGAACGAGTTAAAATGTATTTTCGCATTGTAAATTAATATACACCACTAGTTGTAAAATGAAACAATATTTTAATACATGAGCATAATTGATGTTGACCCTGCTTTAGGGAAATATATAATTCGTGTACACCTTTAATGTTAGATTATAATTGTTAATGTGATAAACATACTACACTTTTACAGCTCTTCGTATTTTGAAATTCTAATGTTTGATTATGTCGAATCGTTTTGGCCTTTCGTTACTAATAGTTTATTTCAGACATGACTGTGCATTATAGAAAATTGCTCAAGTGTTATATTTCAATATATATTACCCTCGATCTTTTATTTTATAATATTATCGTCTTAAACAAAACATGTGTCGCCGTAATAACAATAGTGTTTTTACCAGGAGTTGCTTGTCTTAACATTTCATTGTTACATATACACCGTATCTGATGCACTGATCAAATTGTTAAATAATCTAAATATTATAAACGAACTTTTACATTATAGACATAGCAATGGCTAACGGATGAGTTTATATATAGAAATAAGAGAATATTTCACACCGCTCGTCTTAGTCATATTACTTTTGAATTTCTCACATAGTAAAAGTAACTGACAAAAGGCGTCTATTAGGACGTTAGCTGGTATGTCGACTGCACATAAATATATTTATAACGACTATCTTGTATAAAATAATTCATCAGTTCAGCTGGTATTGGGAGCATAATTTCCGAGGTTGTGAGCTTTGCTATCGGGAATCATTTCACATTTTATTAATTAATTAATATTTAAAATATTATTCCCTTTGACGCACAACCGTGTTGTGTGTTAGTGTAAAAGGTTTGCTTGGTTTGGTTTAGATGTACCTACATTTGAGCATGTTTTTACCTATAATTAACTCGCTGTGTGCCAATAGCAAAGGTTCATTCACCTTCTGTTTTACCTTATATAATTTGTTGCATTTAATAAAGGTATAGTCATAAGTGGTTAATATTTTTGAATTAACGCAGGTTTCGACGTGGTAGTTGTAACACGCCTTGTGGTATCTCTAACTTTTTGCTATTGCTTCACAGCATTTTGTGAACAGCCCATAGATTTTAGGAATTTAAATACATATCCTTATTGAATACTCAAGTCGATTTCACATATTTCTTTTCGTAACGTCAGTCGTGCAATACATAATAACAGATGCTTAGGTAGGTGTTAGGTTTATTTTGTTTGAATTTACAACAAAGTAAAATCTGTTGTATTTTATCGATATTTTTACTGTTTAGTGAGGAGGCGCCTGTGACTTTTCGAAGGTGCCCTCTGAGAATTTAAGTCATATTGTATAATTATGTTTTAAGTGTGAGGCCGGGCCAAATATTGCATTAATTAAGGTCTAACGGCGACTGTATCTCTTTGTTGAGGCAGCCATTTCTGCCCTGTGTATAAATTTATTAACGATCATGAACATCTCAGTGGCTGAATGATATTTTAATGTTAATGGACAGTTTTAGAAAATTGTTATAAATTATTTTGATGACTGTTCGAAGGATAATAAAGAGTTGGATGTCAAATTTGTATCTTATTTATTTATCTTGTGCCACCAACAATAAAATAGAATGGTTTTCTTAGCCACTTTACTATTAAAAATTTTATTTACATAGTAAATGTAAATTCAATTGTAAATGTAATTGTTATCGTGCTATACAAAATTCTTTCCATTTAAATACTATCTTTGAAAATACCAAACGTATTAATATTTGCTGGTTTATCTGGTTTCTTGTGTGTTTCTCGCGTGATCTTTTTCAAAATTTTCTTGAATTTCTTTATCTACATCACCAGAACTGCACATTGATCGCCATTCGAATACGTTATATTCGCTATGAACTGTGATACTCTCTTCTGAAACATTGATTACTTGACCTTCAACGGTCTCCCTAGATTCTGCACTCGTGTTACATGTACCTTTACTTGTATCTGATTCATGGTCCAAATCACTATGGCTATTCTTGACAAATGAACAGGGCCTTATGAACATGCATCTTCTTGAGCAACCGCCCATCCATTCGCTTATCAGGGCACCAGCTGCTATAAGAAATCCTGCCCCTAAGAGGAGGAACATTCCTTGTGTGTCTTCTAAACTTAATCCCTTTTCTTGAACTGAATTAATTCTTTGCGATTCCTTTCCGACCTAAAATAGTTTTCAAATAACTAATATAACATATACTGTTATATGTTATATATATAACATATAATGTTCTGTTTCACAATGTCCAAATAAAATTCTGAATAAGCTACTTGCAACTTATATGAATAAAGTCATCGTTGGCGTTTCCCAATCTTATAAAAAACGTCTCTAACAAATGAAGTTCGAAGTAAATTAAAGGTTAGAACATCTGTCAGGTCATTTTCAAAAAGGAATAAGTATACGTATTTCGTATGTTGTGAAATCGAAAAATATCTATTTAATGCCTTTAACGACAAATTAGATGATTTTTTATCGTTTATCGGAACCGCGCAAAAATCCTGTGTTACGTGGTCCCTATAATTACATGGTGATGATGAGAAATTTAGCGTGCGATTTAGATTTAATAAAGATATGTTTAAAGTGAAATTTCTATATACTTAATACCCATGTTATTTCTAATGGATTCTGAAATAATCATTGTTTCACAAATTATTTTATATCATATATGGATCGACATCTATTGACACTGCGATATTATGCAACAGGAAGTTTTCTGAACGTGTTTGCGATTTTACTGGTGTGAGTGAGGCATCAGCTTGTCCAATTTTAAATGTCGTGTCACAAGCAATCGCACGATGCCAGTTTGTTAAGTTCCCAGAAGATGTTACTGAATTACATATAAATATATCGGAACAGAAAATCCCAATTCTCGTTCAATGTTCAAACAATTTCTAGACGGCCTGGAGCCACACATGACCAAACAATATTTAATAATTCGTTTATAAAACAAAGATTTTTGAACTGAGAATGCAAAAAAAGCATTATAAATGGTTTCAAGAATAATTAAATTAAAAAAATTATGTTCTAACATGTCCCGTAAATCGAAACGCCAAAATGCGACGTTGCCATCACGTTAAGACGTTTGTGAAACGCAAACTATTTTAACAGGAAGTTATGGTATGTGGCAGTTAATTTATTTATCAGTTACTTATCCAGCACATTTCTCAGACTTTGTGAAACAGACACTAAATGTCATATTCAAGTAACACGCTGTACATGTCAGAACAAGATATTTTAGAATAAACAATGGTTGACCTCTGTTTTGGAGTTCAACTTCTCAGAAATCAATAAATAAATTCTGTCAGAGAGTATTTTGTACCGATAGCCTTCCGGGAGAACTGCGTTGAATTTCCCAGCGAACTTCGTTTACGATTTTATTAATAATTCCGCTTTGGAACATTCGTCTTAGATCTCCACTTAATTTGTCATAATAAATCGAACTTTTTGGAAAACCTAGCGCGACTCCAAATGGAACGAAGCATTCGTTTGATATATGCAACATGGCTCGCTTTGACCTGAAAATTGTGTATTTAATTATTTTTTTCATAGGCGTCGTTCAGTTGTAAGAATTATTAATTATAAACAGTACATATTCCTGTGGCTTTCTTTAAAAGTTGAGTACATACTTTGTCTCTGAGTAGTTTGTTTGTACGATATATTCCAGTTCAGCCTGAGATCCTAAAAATGCATACGGCCAGAAAAATGCTCGGGTAGTGTTTCTTATGCCAAAGTTTACATTTGGCACAAATTCTAATTTTTTAAAAAGTTTTTCAGTATCGGGATCGGAAGAATTAAGAAACCATCGCTCCCATCCACCGTGATCTGAAGAACATAATATCATTTATATTGATTGAACTGTTTATTTGCGAAAATATTATTCTTCTGAAAACATTACCTAAAGTTCCTACTCGATAAAATCCCGCCAGTAGCTGTTGAACGGTATTTACCGTTTCTGGAAAAATGGGTAATGTGACAAAAGCTATAATAGACCCTGTGTAGCAGCTTGTAATTATAATAGTAAATATCCAGTACCAACCTAAAATTGTAAAATTAGTAAAAACACCGTAAAAATGTATATATAAAGAAAAGCAAAAATATAGTGTCATTACCAATAAGTAGACGTGTTGTAATCTTCGTTGTGTTACTCCATGAATTTTTACCCACAAACGTAAAACAATTCGTAAATGTACCGAAAACATACCAAAACATATTCTCAACTTCTCCAGAATTGTTAATCAAATGTCGTAAAGTGTGTTTGTCCGAAAAAGCTAAGGGGAAAATTCCAATCAAGTAAGTAAATGTTAAGGCGACCCAAACTTGCCAGTGAAAAGGGCCTAAAATTGCCCTATATCTGGAAAATTTTTTTATCATACAGATTTTTATAATGCAAAAACTTTGTAGCAGTAATTTTACCTACGCAAAGAGTACCTGGGTAATGCAGTTGACATAAGGGTTATGAAAACGCTGCAGTCTTGAGAATGCGGAAAAGTTAGATCAATTTCACGAATCCTCTCGTTTGTTATATATATACCAGCTGCTGCTATATCCGCTTTACCACGAATGATTTCGTTAAGGGCTGCCTCTCCAGAACTGCATTATGATATCGAATCAATGGAGAAAATGTTTTCTTTAGGAGTCAACTATTCAGTGTTTTTGCCTTACCCTAAATACACCTCACTAGGTTCAACAATTTCCAATGAGAAGTTATTTCTTTCCGCTAACAAATTAAGAAGTCTTATTTCAATCCCATCCCATTTAAACTTAGATTGGCCATCTACAAGATCTGTATTAATTCTAAATATTATAAATAACTATTAATAATAACATTTTTAAAGTAAATATATTTAAAGCAGACATTTTACCTCCTAAATATAAACGGCGGCTGAACAGCTGCAGCTACAACAAACCGATGGCCAGCATACCCTTCGGTCATCTTAGCTTGAAATAAATTAACTGGTCGAGAAAATTGGCCATGAAACCAAGAATTTAATACAACTGGCTTACTAGCACCTAATCCATCTATGTACAGTTCATGCGTATACAGTATATAAGGGGCTTCCTGAAATCGTAAAGGTATGTATTCTTAAAAAAAATGTTACAAACATATTTTGTTTGTATAAATAACAAAAATTACCATAATGCCGTCTTCATCTTCCTTAAAGCTTTGACCGATTACTATTAAATTAACGAATATTCTAGACAAAGGCCCTGCTAGAAACTCATGCACGGCCCACTGCGATGATCTTGCTACCACTATAACTTTACTGTTCGGTTGTTTACCCAATACCCTTGCAATTCTTTTTACATCCATTAAAAGTACTATAAAATGAAGGCATCTAGTGTTAGCTTGTAATATTATGGGCTCTCCTAACTGGTCATTATCTTCAATATGTCCATGTATATAGGAAGCCGGAAAATTAATCAATAAATTCTGTAACAAGTAACTTTCTTTTGACTTCACGGACTTGTCATATAGTATGACAGGAGTACAATCATTTAAGTAAGTAAGAGTTATATTATATAGGAGCTTAATTAGTGAATGTGTTTGATCGAATGTTTTATTCTCTCTAAGGAAATGTTCACTCCATAATTCCTCTCTTGTTTTAGGATGCCCACGAAACACAGTATCGGGGGCGTTTCTTAATAAAACATTTTTTGATTTCCTGTTGTTATTTTCAAAGATTAGCTCCTCATTATGTCTAATTTCAGTTTTATCCTTGTTACTTATATGTGTAGTGACATAATCGTTATAAACATTAATTTTAGCAATTTTTCTTTCTGTGCTTAAATTATTACTCATGATAGGCTCAGCAGTACGATATTCAAGTTGTCGACAAAAAACTGAAGGAAATACTAAATACATTTTTAAAATGAAAAAAATTAAAGAACGCATTTTGAGTGCACAGTGTCTGTTGACTAAAAACTTTCTGAAAGGAAATCCACGTCAATTCCCTTTATGTAAGTTTGGATGGACCTTGATACATGATATATCAGTAGTCAGGTGATATGATTGAGATTTAATTTTTTATGACTACTACCCGAACTACTCTTCGAATCATCATGAATAGAAATAGTTGTTTTATTTTAGCTCTTAAAATCAATATCTATTTTTTTATAACTGTTCTTGGTACAAAATGTGAACCTGAACAGTTGAATGAAACACATTTAAGTTTATAGCATTTATTAATCAATATTGATCACTAGCGTCTTCACAAGAATAAATGAATAAGCTTATACACTGTAAATTGAATTACCAATTCCAACACAAAGGGCGTAATTGTCATGTCCTAAATAAATTTAATTTGCTTGGAATATTTAAAAATGACATGCAATCGGAGAATCAATAAAAAAAGAAATTTTCATTTTTAAATACTAAACCTATATTTACAATAATAGTATATCTAAAGATCTAACTTTTAAATAGGTTTGTAGCAAGCGCTTACAGCCACTTTAGTGAAAGATGACATCTTTATCAAAGATATATCATTAAATTAGAATTACACATGCGGGATTTTTGAAGTATAAAATTAATAGAGATTTTTTGCTAAACAAAAATTTGATTAGTTAGTTTGAAAAGATGGAATAATAAATATAAGTAGTCCTATTTAATTTTCGTAGCTGTCGCATAGACATGTGTTACATCGATAGCGCGATGTTCCAGACGTCTATACAATGCTAGAAGAGAAGCATAGAAAAATAATTTGATTTACTCAAACACACTATTTCCAACATTAAAAAATATTTTGTCTCTAAATATAACTAATACTATATTTACATTGTATATTTTTATAAAGGCAGTGTCAACCACAAAGCTGGCAAGATTAGAAAATTATTTTCTAAATTTTAATATGGCTTTCGTATTATTAGTCCAATATTTTCGAGAATATTAATAATTTTTTAATGTGTATATTACCATGTATTTTCTATAATTTCACTATTGTTTCATGTCAAATCAAATAGTTTAAAAATTAAAATATGAAATAAAGAAAAAAAATAAGTAAAAATTAACATAATTCTGATGTGTATCATTATCGCAACAGTATTTCTAAAAATATCAATTTAATCTATAATTTATTGTAATAGTAATAGTGCTTTTAGTACAGGTTGATTGAAAACACATAATATCACAGTTTCCAATACATAGCGCAACGGGTAGCTTATTTAGATAAAAATTGATTATACTATAATAAATTCGAATCGCATCTCTCAATTAGAATGAAATTGTTTCAGACGAAAACTTTTTGTGACCACCGAATTCTAAATGGCACTCAATAGATGTTAATAAACAATTCATATCTTTAAATAATTTACAAACAGAACGGTCTTTGCCTCGTTGGCTTATACCTATTACGTTTACTAGATTAATGTCAGGGACGGATACGATTTCTACTATAAGCTACAATTAATTGGTTATTCTCCGATTTCATTATCGATGCGTGATGATTTGATGCCTGTTTTTCCTGTCCATGGATAAATTTCGGGACACGGCTGACACGTTCTCATATATCTAACTCCTGATTTGTGCCAGAGGTTACAAATTTTAGGGTTGTTACATTTTTTCGGACGATCCTGAAAGAAGAACATAGTAACGATTAATTTAGGTTTAAAATAATTATTTTAAACACACATGAATAATCATTATAAGACAGAGAGCCGGCCGTAAAGGCAGCAAATATCGTTGACAAAGTGCCTCAACATGTTGTGCTGACTCCACCTAGGTGGGATAGCAGAGAAAGGAGAGAAAAAGACATCAGAAACAACGCTTACCTGGTAGTTGCATTGGAAGGGTTGGAAATTATTAAGTCTTGATATTGGAGTTGGATCTCGCACCCACTGCAGAGCTTGCCAATTAGTTACGAGCCATACGTCTTTCATTTTATTAATGTAATCCAAAAACATGATAAAACCTTCTTTGTGATGTGGCTGAGTGAACCATGCTGCGTGATAAAATAGACCAAATGGAGCCCTGAAAATGTTAAGGTGTCGAAATTAATAAATGATTTTTTTACGTTAAAAGTTGCCAAACGAGCAGACGGTTCACTTGATGTTAAGTGGATACCGTCTCCCATGGACATCTGCTACACCCGAAGGTTGCAGATGAGTTGACAACCTTTTGAAAATTGGGCTCCGGCTACCTCACGCACCAGACGAAACGCGAAAGTATTACACATCCATTTGACTCCGGTCTTCTGTGAGGTCGTGGTAATTATATGATTGTAATAAATAACAAACGTACCGGTTACTTGTGTAATGTCTGTCGAAATTCTTTAAAAGCATCTTGTACACGCCCTCAGCCTCTGGAGGATTGGCACAGGCATCACCCATTGAGCATCGGCCACCATTTAAGTCTTGCCACATTACCATAGGAACTTCCCAAACACCTGAAATTTTAATTGATTTAAATTCAACTTATATTGTGATTTTCGAAGATTCGATTCAAAACTCAATCATTTTTATTGCTAATTTCACCCAATTTTTTGGCGGCAAGCTTGATGAATGTTGACACTGAACACTTGGACATTTCTAAAAATGTAATCTAATGTATATCTAAATATATCCATTCACGAAAAAGTGGAAAACTATGGTTGATTCAATTGACGGATGGGTTCAACCCACATAATTTCAAAAGTGACGTAGCTGCTGGCTCTACCATTGGTAACACACAATAGCAAATGGTGATCAAAAGCAATAATTATTTCACGTTGTTATAATAAATTTCATACCATTTTATATAAATTATGTATTGTTAGTTATTGATATCATGTAAAAACATGATATCAATAACTCAAGAATATCTTTTATAAGTTCACACTGCAACTAAAACATAATTTCAGAAAAAAAGTATCAACCTGGATAAGATTTTGTTGGGCATGGCGGAATCATGCAATCATGGAATAGTTTATAATCAAGAGTGTATGGCCAGCTTGGTGGTTTATTCTCATAAACAGGCAGTGAAGAATCATAGGTGAAGTTAGAGTCATACAACATCTTGAACATTTTATTTCCACCAACTGAAAGGAAAGGTGCTCTCATGCCTCGAACGTCTTCTAGTTTTACACCACCATACGCTGCCAGTATTTCTCTTTGACCACCAACTTCTCTATTCCACTTCTTCTGAGAAAACTGCTCTCCGAAGCTGTGTCTAAAATTGCAATTCAATATATTTATTTGAATTTTAGGTTTAATGAAAAAAATTATCAATTAGTTTAAATTTGAAAAATATTTGAAAATGTTATTTAACGTTATCTAGGCAAGATAAAGGAAAATTATTTTTCGAGGTAATAGCAAAGAAAAAAATATAATAATATGTATGTGTAGTAGATATGCTATTCTATTATACTTTTCCTGTTCTCTTATAATATTATATTTAACTTACGAAATCGTATGTGAAGCCATCTCATGTCCAGAGGCGTATAAGTTCTGTACTTGACTATAATCGGTCCATTCGTGTGACACATAAAATGTGGCACTAATTGGGCAACCGTTTGGATTCACGCGGCCTTTTTCGAATAGATCCGAGTATAGAACTTTGTTCAAGTCGTTAACGGAATCATCAAACGTCAGAAGAACAATTTGTGGTACGCTCTCCAAGGGTAAGTCACCTGTTCAGCCGCGGGTGTAGGTATGATCGTGCATGAGGTTATTGGTACCGAAAGTGCCAGGAAGAGGAAGATTACGTTAGGTAAAGAGGAAGGAGAAGAAAAATAAACATTAATTAAATTAATAAACATATTTGAAAATATATCTAGATTTATACATACGTAACAAAACATATATACATGTATATATAGATGGCCAAGAATAAACTGTTAGTTTTTCCGAAATTCGAACACGTTTTTCAGACGTCAACTCCAGCACACTTCAACAAACATTGTTCGACTCTCAGATTATAGTGTTTAGATATACCAAGATAGGAAGTCCAATACAGTAGATGGAAGCTGTTTTTGATCCCGTTGACTTACGATATTGTGTGAGACGCAAATTCATGGCCATCTGCATATAGATTTTGTACTTGGCTATAGTCAGTCCATTCATGAGAAACGTAAAAAGTGGACGATATTGGACAGCCATTCGGATTAACACGTCCATTTTCAAAAAGTTCTTCGTAGTACATCTTATTCAAATCATTGACGGCATCGTCGAAAGTAATAAGTACCATTTGCGGCACTTCGTGAACGGGCAAATTTCCTAAGACAGCAAATTATATTCAGAACAAAATTTTATTAAGTACTTTTTAATATTAAAACATGTAGAAAAAGTACGAAAAGATTGTCGCCGCTGTGGGAATCGAACCCAAGTCTTCGGCATTCGCAGCCTGTACTTTTCGTACTTTTTCTACATGTTTTAATTTTCAATCTTAAGTGCAGAGATTAGCACTATAAAAAACTTTAAAATTTGTACTTTTTAATAGTCTCTCAGAAAATATTTTCGCATATTATATCTAAAAGTGAAAAGCTATATACGTTATTTTAGTTATGAGAACTAAATGACCAATACGTACCAGGTATATCCTTTCCACCACAATAGCAGTCCGGTAACAAACACACATCTTTTCGGCATTTTGCTGCAGTTTTGTCCGGAGTCGGTTGAGGATACACCGGAGCTGGCCTTGTCGGTGGATGAGCATAAATATCCACAAACTTTGCTTCAGAAACGATAGCTGTTGAAGGCTTGAGGGTTGGTCGACTGCGGCTGCTTGTAAATTAATAAATGATTACTTAAATTATATTCCAATTTAAAAGAAATTGTTATAAATAATAAATAAAAACTAATACATAGTGTATATAACGTAACCTCCCATCTCTAATCAAAATTATGGTTCGCAAATCTTAACATTATACGGACTTCCAGAAATGAATTGAGATGTAAAAGATCAAGTAAATAATGAAATTATGAATAGTTTAATACTGATGGACCAGCTTTAATTTAGAGTTCATAGCTGGTAAAAAAAAACAAAACCCCACTTATTTTATATTATAGTGTAAAATTCATTCTAACGTTGGTGGCGTTCCTCTGTTTGTTTGTTGTTGTGGTGCCTCAGATCCGTTTGAAGTAGAATAATGTGCAGATCCACGCCCGCGCGTACTGCTTGGCCTGTTGGAAATAAATTCGTGAAATAAATTGTGCGCTTAATATAATCAAATTAGTACGCGTGACTTTAGAACAAGCATTTGTAATTATTCTTGGATGCATCTGTACTTTTAATTTTATAACACATTTCATGAACTACCTTTGATTTTCTTAAATTCAGTTAATCTAAGCATAACACTGTTATTGCTAAATATCACAGCTTAGCAAACAAATTGAAAAAAAACCTCTATTATTGATATTTTAACAAAAACTATATTCATGCAATAAGTACGTTAAAGTTTCAGCGCAGTAGGATTATTGCTCGTGATTCGGTGCATTTTGTAACTAACAAATAAATGATTTGCAATCAGGTGCTAATGCAGGCATTGAGGAACTTTTACATTAAGTTTCAAAACTAATATTATATACTTACGTAAATAATAAAATATTTAGAATTAATTAAAAACGGAAATGGGCACGTCAGGAGTTAACAATTTAAAAAGGCAATTCAACTGAATTGAAGTCCCCCAATATAATAGAAAATAGGATGCTAAGCGACAGATTTTAACAGTAGGTGCTATTAAACTGTTTTTATGGATGTGGTTTCTCATGCTAGTTACTTCGCGAGGCTGAAAATGAGGACCTTTAAACAAACGAAGCCTCCACCGTCCAATATTTATAAAAATATTGATAGAAACATCAGGCTGCATTGACTACTGGGCGGCGAGCTATGTACCTCTGGTATTTGATTTCGTTGCATTTTGGATTCGCTTGCAGACTGTTGTCTGATGAGCAATTGGTCGACGATTGGTAACTCCTGCGTCCACCTCCAAGATTTGCCGCGGCTAACTTTATAGCGGGATTAACACGTGAGGCTCGTGTTGGAAAGGATAAACTCTTAGTGGTCATTTTTGTTTCCACTTTCACAGTCGTAGTCGATTTAGTTGTACTTGTCGTTGAGGCAACATCAGGCAAGGATTGATAATTCTCTGTCTCAGTTGTTGTCGTAGTTTCTTCAATATTTGTTATGGTGGGCTTAGTCGTTTCAATAACAAGGTCAATGTAAGAAGTGTTGGAATAAATGCTTTCTTTAGTAGGTTGGCTATCAATTTCAAGGTTTACATTTTTAATTGGTTTTTCAACTGGATACGATGTAGTTAAAATTTTGCTAAATTTTGATTGAAATGAATTATCATTTATTTCAGTAAAGTTTTTATCTACAGTGTTTTCTGTGGATTTAATTAGTGTTTCTAGATTATCATGTACTATAGGTGATGTTGCAAAATGGGAGGCAATAGATATGTCGTCGTCTGGTAGTCGTTGCCTAAAGTTGTCGTAAGACTCTGTAAAACTATCAGAATCAATATTTGATGATGTTAACTCACTAACACTGGGTTCAGTGATAATCTGTAAAGATTTTACATTAGTTCGAAAGGGCTTACCATCGATATATTTTAAAAATTTCTTTTGATATCCTATATTCACCACATTTTCTGAGCTAGTCGATACAGGTTTGGGTGTTGTAGGATAAAAATCTTGTGCATTGTTTGAATTTGACGATAACTTATTGAAAAACGCCTTAATTACATTTCTTACTTTGCCGCCAAATACTTTCGTGGTGTGATCAGGTATAATTTCATCATCTACACTATAACTATAATAAGAAGGCCTCTGAGTTGAATATTTCTCTTTGTCAGCCTTAATTTGATCAAAACTTTTGATTGTGGTCCTATATGTGGTGGTCGATGTTGAGCTTGTGGAATAATCTTGAACTGAATCATCTATGTATGAGTTTTGGAAATGGTCAAATATTTTATAGGGAGATGTCGCTGAATCGGAGGTAGTTTCAACAACAAAACCGTCTGTTTCCTTCAAATTTATTTCTTCGTTGTTTTTATCTAATAAATCAGCTTCTTTGGTAAATCCCTTCGATTCATTATTGATAGGATTTGTTGAGCTTCTTGCATTACCATTATATTCATCGTTGTTTTCTGAGGTTGATTCCTGCCGTCGCCCAGTTGCTAAGTAATATTTCGAACTTGTAATGGTTGCAGGAGTTGTAATAATTCTTTTTCGCTGCCTTTCGTTTTTCGTTTTAACATAATAATGAGTTTTGTTTTGCTCATTATCAACGTCAGGTCTTTTACTTTCTCGATTTGGTAGATGAGTCGTTCTAGTTTCATTATTATAATCAATATTCACTCTTGTCTTAACAACCTCCTTAACATTGTCATCGTTAGTATTATAGTACAACCTTTTAGACTCGTCAACATTTTTAGCTTTACCTTCAAAAGTAATTATCTTTTGCGAAGTCGTATTACCATCATAAGGTCGTGTTATAACTGTTAAAGTATAAGGACTTTTGGTATTATTAACATTTTGTCTTATTGAAAATCCGGTGGTATACGTATTTTTATTACGATTTGGTCTAACTATTTTCTCATTCACATTAGTAATGTTAGCATTACTAACGTTCGCTAGTGTAGTAGAAGGCTTACGTGTCAGTAGTTTTTCAGTCGATGCTAAAACGTCTAACCTGTGTGAGTTTTCAGTCCGTCTAAAAGGTTTGGCACGGGAAGAAAAATTAATGACTGGTGAAAGGGTAGAGGGAATTAAACTGGACTCGTTTAAAGAATTCTGGGTAGAGGAAATACCAGGATTTTCATCCGCAGAGAATCTGTTGAATACAAAGCAAAAGAAAACTATCTGATTTAAGCTCTAACAATACAAGTTGCTTATAAGCTTACAATCAAACCAAAGTAAGAAAGAATTGTTAATAAATATTTAAATAAACAAGCTAATATTATTATTTTCTACGTGAGGTAAACGTAATGATTATTTAATCGAATTTTATTTTTAACTAACTACCAGATAATGTAATACTTGTAATAATTCTCTAAAAAGTTCGTGTATCTGTGAAGATAAAAAGTGAAGATACCACAAAAGCTATTTTTTAAAAGTGTGTGAATAACTAAGGTATAGTTAATAATATAGAAATTTGTTGCCGAATATAAAAAACAAATTAAACACAACCTTCAAACAAAACAGAAATAATAATGATATTAAAATCAGTAATGGAAAATTAATGAGGTGTTAGAAAGGTTAGTAATGAGTTTAAAGGTTGCATCAACATGAATGAAACAAATTTTAAAAACAGTAAAACCACAATAATATGAAATATGAAATATTGTGACATGAATAAATTTGAACAACATGAAAAGCATACATAGAATATATAGAAGTGTCTAGCTACGGTGTCTTTTGTAGTACCTTGAATTAAATCGAGACGGGGTCATAGCTTCTGTGAAGAGTGCAGTAGTAGAGCGTTGTGTGGTGGTAGTCGTGGTGGTTGTGGTTGTGCTAGTCGTAGAAGGAGTAGTGCTAATAGAAGTAGCTTCGTAAACAGTAGTCCGCACGCTGTTCGGGTTATGCTCATAGCCCAATTCATTACCTTCGCCCCTGAATCGATTAAGTAAATAGCATAAATATGTAACCGGACAACTTTGGGTCTTAGAAACTAGTTAAAATACATTGTTATTCATCGACGTATATCCAATTTTTTTTATTATGTTACCTTGTGGAATGACGACTAGGTGGCTGATACTGGTTCTGATTGTTTATCTGAAAACAAAATAGTGTATGCACTATATGTACTAACAAATATGACATTGTACTAGCACACTTCATTATATTTTTTATGTGTCCAAGCATTCAAATAATACCTGTCCTTGAATAAGAACATCATCGTAGTCGTCAGATGGTGCAGGTCTGGGGGTATAAGATTCCACAGGTCTGCGTGTTGGAGGAGGGGTCCCACGATATGTTTGTTGAATTGTAGGTCGGAGAGAAGCAGTATTGTATTGTTGCACGTAATCTGTCAAAAAGGATACCAATATTATATTATCAAATTGAAATTACAACTTCAGTACATAATTATAGTTTATTAATAATTATATTGATTTTACATTTTTTTACTTGACAGCAGCTTCCGCTTTTACACGAATGGGCTCTATTTCGGGGAAGTACCACCATCTCATAAGGGGCCAGCGTCTTTTATGAGATCTTGGTAACGTTTCATCCAACGTAATGGCCTTTCATTCAATAACTTTGAACAATTAAATTAACTGTGGTAGGACCATGGATCACTGTTGCACGAATGTCCGGGTAAGTACGACGACCTCACAGAAGACCGGCGAAAACTAGAAGTGTTACAACTTCTGCGTTTCGTTCGGTGAGTGAGGTAGCCGGCCCATTTTATTTAAAGGTGGCAACGCGTTTGCAACCCTACGGGAGTTGCAAATATCCATGGGCGGCGGTTATCACTTAACATCAGGTTAACCGCCAGCTCGTTTGCCACTTTCTAACATTAAAAAAAGTGATATCACCGGGGCCCACTTTTTAACGGTTGGCACGTATCTGCAACTCCCAGGTGGTATTAATTTCCATGTATGATAGTAATCACTTAACACCCGGTGAACGATCCGTCGCTTGCCGAGTTCTTTACATAGTATAAAACAAAGTCGCTCCCGCTGTTTGTTCGCTTAGATCTTTTAAAATACGCAACAGATTTTAATGCAGTTTCTACAATAGATAGAGTGATTCAAGAGGAACTTTTATATGTAGTATAAATGCATATTGTTGTATAAGAAAGCCAAGAAATGTATAGATTTGAAATATGATATAGTAACAAACACATTTACGAGCGCGTACATTACAAACGCTGGATAAACCTAACGGGATCTTTAGATCAAATTAATGTAGTAAGGAATTGTATGTCTTAAATAGATCGATAAAAAAGCCCGTGATATTATATGTTTATCTACTAAGGACAACACACAGTAACCATTTTTATCTTCTACATATTAAAAAAAATTACGAGTTTTTTACCAAGCTGTTTTAAACAATACCTTATCCAATTCAATACATTACATACGTTGTGCATTTCATATACTTAGATCTTTTTGATCAATTCGTTCATTTTGATCAATTCAAATGAATATCTTAAATGATATCAGATTTAAAAAGCGGGGGCAGAGCTGCTTCGGTCTGGTTAGCGGCGGTTGGCGGGTTCGCGGTTTCGAAAGTAACCTTTAAACAAAATATTTGGCACTTTCTTATGTAAAAACAGATATAAATACTATATATAAAGATAACATGTAGTATTATAGACTAATCATAATATAATTAATGACTCCACACTGCCCCACATTAGTATTTACATTAATTTATTATCAGCAGGGCTGGTTGCTAAAATTATATAAAACAATCACCTGTATCTTTGTAAAGTTCTCCATCTTCATCATAAACGGCATAAAATGGATCAAATTGGTCAGGACTGTAGCTTTGAGATCCATTATAAAGCATTTTTGGACGGGGACTTGGTGAGAAAGAGGAAGGAGTAACACTTTCTGTGGGTTCCAAGCTGAAAATATCAAAAAATATATGAATATCATTATTGTTACTATTAAAGTGAATGTCTTGAAATAAAAAAGTACTTTTATTGTCAAGTCGATGTTGTCAAAGGTCGTCAAGTCAGTAAGACATTATAATTTTGGGAGCTCAAAAAATCACTCATATACATTATATACATATTTTGCTTGTTATTTCTCGTTACAACCTCATTTGCTTAAGTAAAAATTTACTTAAAATGGAGAACAGTTGAACAACTTGTTTTGTTTACCTGTTTGTTATATCATCATGCTTAGTCTTAGTATATCTAGTCTCCTGATTATAGTTATCACGTGGAGTAGTCAGCATTTGTGCTACAATATTCAGATGTCTTCCCCTACCCCTTTTTTGTTTGTTTTCTGTTGTTGATTCTTCCGTAGATGGTGGTTTAGCTAACCTATGTCTTATAGTATAGGGTCTCAGGGTGGTCTGATTTAAATATTTTGGTGGTCTCATTGTATTCGGACCGTTCACAGTAACAATAGGCTTTCTTAAGTGTATAGATCTGTTTCGCGGTACGTGGTGACTAATGTCATAATTAGATACTTCCGGGCGTTTAAACACATCAATCTGTTGTATTACCGGTGTCGCTTTTATCATGAAATTCTTACTATTTTCTTTAAATGGCAATTCTGTTACAATGGTCACGTCATTTGGTGCTTTTGTAACCGGTGCGGGTCTATGATTATTGTATCTTATAACGGGACTTGTTTGCTTAATATTTGATGAATGTTCCTCAGTTCGGCCGTAATTATCATCGTACTCTCGATAGTTTTGAGCCATTGGAGGACGTTGTGGTTTAACTTCTGAACTAGGCATGTATTTAGGCTTTACAACAGGCTCATAGTAATACTGGTCGTCTTCATCATCGTAATAATAATCATTCATTTCAGGAGACGGTTTTGGAATGGGTTTTCTTTCACTTGTTACTTTATTTGTTGTACCAACAAACGGCTTTGGCGTACTACTATAAAATATATAAGAGTTGAATGGAGATAGTGTTGAAATTTTCATAGCTTGAGTATATAACGTGTCATATTTTGGTATAAACGAATCCGTGCTTGGTTTATGGGTAGACTGAATTAGCTGTTTGCTATTAGAAGTAGTTTTCCAATATTGTTGAAGAGTGGAGAGTTGTTTGTTAGCTACGGTACTGACCGTTTTGGGCGTTGACTGTCTTAGGTCTGTATTATATTCCTTTATTGACTGAACAGTGGATATTGATAAAGGTTTTACGGGTGAATCAGAATGAACATTTAAGTTTATATCCTTCTGACGTTGTGGATTTGGTGAAGAAATAATAAAAGGCCTTTCGGTACTAGTAACTGAAATATATGGCTTCTGACTTATGGGCAAATTGTTTGAGTAATTCGATAAGTTATAAATAGGAAGTCTGGTCTTCTCATTCGGTTTATTGAAATTTAATGTGATTGGCAATTGTCGTTCGTCGGTGAAATTGGGTGGCTTTAATTTCGATAAAAGCTTACTTAACATCTCTGTGTCTTGCTGACGATTTCTATTATAATTATTTTTATTTATAGCGCCTGTTTCATGTTGCTCTGTTACTAAAGCTATTGGTATTAATGGTGAGAATGGTTTATTATTAGGAGTTGATGATAAATGTAAATTATTTTGAATTGAACTAATTGTACTCGAACGGATATTTGATAAGGTAAAAGGACGAGGAGTGCCTTGCCCGACCAATGCAGTTGATGATTGAACAGGAATTTTATACGACAAAGTCGTTATTTCTAACGGCGTTTTTAATGGTTTGAAACTACTACTGTGAATAGTTTTAGGTTTTGAAGATGTCTGTTCCAAAGATGTGTAGTGATCTCTTTGTAATTTGGCTAAAAAGGTATCAAAATCAAAATTTGGATTAGCAAAAGGATTGTCTATGTTAGCATATTTATTATTGGGGTGAGTGAAGGCATACGGTGGATTCGGAAAATCATTTTTGAAGTCCTCCTCGTCTTCATCAGATGTTTCGTCACTTTCATTTGATTCATAACTGTCATAATAATCATCATGTTGTTCGGGCTCATGATAATTTCCTTTGTTTCGATTATTGTGTACTGTATTTAGTTTTTCTTTTGAGTTAGGTTGGTTGCTTTTAAGTTTCCCTTGATTAAAACGATGATCATAATCTGAAGATAAAGACGACTGTTCAAGGGGTTTATTGGTAACGACTGTACTAGAAACGTGAGATGAATCTTGAGGTAAAATTATTTTGGGTCGGTTGAAAGTAATTTGTTCTTGATATTGTTTATCGTTCTGAAAAACTTTCTTAGGTGCGTTATTGTAAAAACCACCAGACAATGATGAAAAGGGATTATCTTTAATGTTTAATGAGGAAATAGGTGGACTTTTGGTGATTATTTGAGAATTTACAGAGTTTTGACGAAATACCTGATTAAATGGATCAGGAAGACTTGGTTTAAAAGGTCTTTGGGATTGCGTATATTCAGTTGAGTAAGATAAAAAAGGACTAGCCGTGGTAAAACCATTTTCTAAAGAATATGGCTGACGACTCCCGGTATTAAAATTTTCATTGTGATACGCACTTTGATAGCGAGAATTTTGTAAATTATGATTGTATTGATTAAATCGTGATGGTTTGGAATTTTGAATGTAATTTTCAGGTTTATTGCCATTTTTTAAAATATATCTAATTTGTCTTTTGTCTCTATCAGTCTCAAAAACCTCACCGTCGTTAAAGTTATTATTTGATTCAGAATCATCTTTTAAAAATTCAATAACATCAGCACTATCACTTTTATCAGACATTTTACTGGATGTAGTCAAATTAGTTCGTGTCTCGTCTAAGTCTCTTTTTCTTCTTACATTTGTTTTGTCGTTTAGACTAATAACGTTTGTCTCAATGTCTCTAGAAATGTCAATTACAGAATCACTGTCAGCTCTGAAATAATAACGTAATTTCAAGTTATAAGTCAAAGTAACATACAATGAAAGTTAATAATATACACCGAATAAACCGTGTAATACCGAAATAAACTTTATTGTTCTATATCATACCTGTAACTTTGTGGAGCTTGAGTAATTGTAGCAGTTCGCCTGTCATCCACTTGTGTACCGAAAGAAAAAGATGCAAATTTTCCACTATTTTGTGGTATTGATGCAGGTATTATATTAGAATTAAGAGTTCTTCCCGAACTTATAGCTTGGGTTCCATAACCATCTCTATCCTTTTGAACTTGTCCAATTGTCGACGGCTGTCCCCGGTAAACTCGCTGCTGCCTATCGCTCTCTAACTCCTCAACGGGTGGCAAATCATCTACTTCGGCGTACAACTGTTGCTGCTTAACCAAAATATAAAAAATACTTGTAGTAATAAAAACGTGTGTGTACTCATGTATGCACGTAAGAAGTTACACTACTTAAGCGTAACAAAAGAAAAATAACTAAAAATTTTATCCCCTATGTCAGTAATATTTGTGAAAGACAATAAAAGCAATTGATACCAGTTTAATTAAATAACTTGGAATTATAGGTTCTTTATAAGTTGCTATTGACTGTAAAAGTCAATAAGTTGCTATTCGTTGCCGTGAAGATGGTCTTAGTATGTCGCTTTGCAACCAATTTCATCGTGTCGTTTAGTCGCGCAGATGCACACCCACAGCAAATGTGGGTGTTCATCTGCGCGCATCGTAAAAATTTTACTCTCATAATATTTTCCGAGCGCGCAAAAAGGAGTAAAACTTCAATAATTAGTAATAGTTCCAACGTTTCTTTTCCATATACTTCCAACAAAAAATTAATCGAATTAAACAATTCAAAACATTCTGTACCTTTTCATACTCTTGCCTATTAAATTTCGGCTGTCCCCTAGATGTGATAATCGGATTTGGTTGCGCCCTTGGAGGTGGTGGTGGAGGAGTACGTCGTGGTGGTGGCGGTGGCGGCGCAGGTTCTCTTTGGCTTATCCGTTCGAGTTCTCCCCCCGACACTGTACCGGTGGCGTCGCAGCCAACGTTTCGCGGCCAATCACACGTTTGGAGCTCGTGGCTGTATAGCAGAAAGTGTTGCTTTAAGTTCTTTCATTAATAAAGTAGCGGCCTGTTAAATAATCTGCTGCAAAGCAAATATCTCCTCTGTAAATAGGGCCTTACAGAAATACAAACACCCTATTGGGATTCTACAGGTATCCCTATTTTTTTTTTTACTATTAGAGCTCATCGTACCATCAACGGAATTAGAACTCCAGTTGCTCGACCCCAACGATTAGTTTTCTTTATAACGGCTAAGTGAATAATGTCGTGTCGTGGAGGGGAGAACTCCTGTGTTTGTAGAAACAAACACGAAATAAAAGATATCAACACTAATTACTACTAATTAGACGTTGGCGAAAAGCCATTGCGTTAATCTTGTTAAAAATTCAAAAGCAAGCATTCGGACGACCCGAATGGCGTAGAGTACCTGCCTCCTGCGCCAGAGGGTGTGGGTGCGATCCCCACTACTGGAAAAATATTGTGTGATGAACATGGTGTTTTTCTAGTGTCTAGGTGTTTATACATGTATAATATGTATTTCTTTACAAAAGAAGAGTATGTTTAAGTATGTTTATCCGTTTTCTAGTACCCATAGTACAAGCTTTGCTTAGTTTGGGACTAGAAAATGTTGCGTACAAATGTGTCCTAAATATTTATTATTATTTATTTATTCATACATTTAGGTAACAACATTGATAACGGAAGAACTGTTGTATCACCTGTACATAAGACCACCCGTGCACGACTCCAGCAGTGCTCCGCCGAAAACACAAACGTAATACAAGGTACAGTCGGTGGGATGGGGATAGTAGCCGAACTCCTCGGGACAGTCGAAGTCCACTTCTCTCTTAACGCTGGCTGCGGGGGTAACGCTGCGGCTCGGCCCGGAACGCTGCCGGGAGCGCTCCCTCGCCCCAAGACATTCTGAAAAAATTTTATACATTCGTAAGAGACGAAATTAACCAACGATCTTCAGACAATATTCCAATGTATAGTAAGTTAAATAAATGACGTAATACAAGTGCAAAACGGTTTTTTAAAATTACACAAAGTATGTATGCTCTTAAATTAAGACATTTGCTGTCATTACAAAGGAAAGTCATTAATCAGTGACCGTTTAGATAAAAACAGAATCTATCAATTAAAAGAAGACAAAATTTTAAAAATTCCATTGATTTGACATTTTTCTCATAAGTAGTCAGTTATATTTGGTACATTTCCTGTGATATAAATTCAATCTGTAATATTTCAATATAAATGCTTGCTTCAAATTAAGACTCGATGAATATGTAGCAAAATACATAGTTAGGAGAGGGCTTATGAAGGTATTCAGAACAATTGCAAGACTTCCCGTCCTTGCAGATAACCTAAAAACTGTATGTGTACTGTGTAATAAGTCAAAAAACTATACTCGATAAACATTTGTGCTCAGTTCTTCTGCAAGGTAGGAAATTTACTAATTGGCAATATGAATTATATTCTATAGTACTAACGGCTGGAATGTTTAAAGAAGATCCCGAACTAAAAGTAATATAAATAAATAAAAAGCCATATTAGACGTTATATATACTTTTATTATGCATATACACAATTAGACAATAAACCATTTGAACTGATTTGGATTTTTTTCTTTTTTAGTTAATTAATACAATTGCTGTAAAAAAGAAAATGTTAATTACTCTCCTCAAGTGCTGCATTTACGAACAAAGTGTAATTTAGCGCTTTAAGTCATGACTCGTGTGAAAATTGTGAATTTTCATCGTTGAAACGTGCGCGAGAATTGATGGCCGCTCTGAATCCCACAAATACTCGTGATCACAACGAAAACGTGATTCAACGCTTACAACTTTTCTCCGAAACATGGCTGTGAGGATGTTATGACGGATAACAATTTTTGGTTCAGTGTTCAAATCCGGATCGCTTACTTAAATACGTTAGCGCTTTGTCATCTTATAACAGATCTTCCAAAACGGAAGGGTTGAACTGCCTTACTACATTTGCTACACCATTTTAAGCGATTTTTATATGAATAATGCGGTAAATGAATTGACTAGCGTTTTGCCACATTATTGTATATATTTTATTATATTTTAGGTAAATAAATAACTTTGTGAATTGAAAAATAAACAATTTGTTATTATTAAGGATATTTTAATAAATGCTTCGACGATAAAAAAAAAGGAAATCAAACACATGAGTAAATAATCTGACGAATAATCGTTAATTTAATAACGATATCAAGTTTATAATATCAAATTATAAACTTGATCTCGTTTTAATTCAACTCAATATAAAACACGTACTTACATCGTAGTTTCTCTGCCAACGGATTATTGAAACTCGCAATCCATAATAATGGCCCGGTGTGTGGGAAATGGTTGACGGCCCGGTATTAAAATATTGCAATATGACTGTTGAAATATGTTCACGGGGAATTGCAGATTTTAAGTATTCATGCGATGCTCCGTTTGAGATAACATCTATTTGCACAAGCCAGTGCACTGACCCAGCATCGCTACCATTCTCTCATTTATTCAGATTGGATTTCCATGTTTGTGGATTCAAAAAGGTTTACACGTCCCTATAACACTGTAATTAGGTATAGTGGGCGTCGGATAGGACATTGCCAAGTGTTTTCCACGCAATTTGCATTGTGTTTCGATCCTAAATACCCTCGCCCACTACTTCAGAAAATATATCCAAATTAAACAAAGACCCAAGAATACCTTTATTGCGATCACATATGTAACAAAATAAAAGTAATTTAAAACCAGTTAATTTTCCAAATTCTGTTCATTTAGAGTCGAACTCGAACATATCAGATGAAGTCCTTTAAATATCTACAAAAATGCTTTATTTTAACTCCCTATTTCAAATAGAGAACATTTTAACAGACCTTAAAAAATAACATACTTTGACAAACTTATGAATGATTGATCATAATTATGTAATTGTCTATCTCTGGATACACCGAAGCGATTTTTCACATTTTCCTACAAGAATACTACGTCATCTCTGCAATAAGTCATTTGTTTAAATCTCGATATTTCTAAAAGGGATGACTTTTACTGGAACATCAAATAATAAAAATAGAAACGCCTTCGAATTTTGAAGATTCATCTCTTGACTTAACGCAGGCGCAAATTTTAATAACAATGCCTTCGTAAGTGGCATTGCTATGTATAAATGTGACCTTTAAACTTAGGCTCGTATCTGCAATCTGTATCACCTTAGTCAACTACCAATTAACTGCCCATAGTAATTTTCATAACAACACACAGCCTTGGACCGCTCGCTAGCAATAAATTCACAAGGCGTAATAACAAAGGCGTGGGCGTGATTCTCTAACGATCAAACCATTGGTCACTCCGCACCAATTTAAAGCTGTCAGATATCATGATCTTATCCCGCTAATGCATATAGAAAACTATTTGTAATTTTATGTTTGCGATAGTAGCGCCCTTGGATAAATTTAACAACCTTATGTCTAATGATCGGCTCCTATTTTTTCTTATACATGAAAAATACACGTGTATATGAAAAATGTACACATACTCTTTGGTTATACTAAATGAAAACTCATATAACCAATGAAAACAGAATTATGTTCGATGCAATAATACTTTATTAATATATCATTTCATAAAAAAATTGTATTTTGTTTACGTAAAATGTTTCTTTCTTAAAACAATTATGGTACAATTGCTTATGGATCATCGTAACAGGCAAAATTATCAGAATATCGCTGTAATAGTTTCAACATTGTGCTCTGGATAGCACAATATAAAGCATCCAATTTTACTGTTAGAAAATAAATGTAACAAGCAGAGATAATTCTGAAAAATCGTTGCAATGGATTAAAACATCCCTTTACGCATTATGCTTCTAGTAAGCATACGATATATAGAGACGCGAAATTAACACGGTCCAAAAGTGAAAACATCAATATACCTAATAAAACCCACTCAAATGTTGATTTATTAATAAATCTCCAAACGTTACTGTTTTCACCTGGCTCGAAGAGCATTTGACCCTGGGTTCAAGAATAACAACCAGTTTATGGCGGACTCGACCGACAAAGCTCCAGGATATTTACCCATCCGCTTTGTTGACGGATCACGGGATCTCGGAACCCACCTGCGAATCCTCATCACTTGGCTGGTGTAGCCCTGTCCTGGGGCCAGAACTACGATGCCCCCAGCACGGCTACGGTCCCACCGTGGTGTCTGAATACCACAACAAGCCATGGGCTCAGGGTTGACCGCAACCCTGAACTCCACTTCTTCAACTTAAAACTCCATTTATGGCCCCGACTCCAAGTGGGATCTGTAATTTTTGACCCCGCTCAACAGCCTCTTTCTGGACCATCATGGTCTCACAAACGGAGGCTACGGCCATCCACGCCGTATCTCATAGCCGTAGCACAGTACTCTTAACACACCGACACCTCGAGGCATGGTGTTAACTAGATTTCACTCTTAAATTACTCTACTTATCTTAAGATTTAAGTGAAATTTTTTGCTCATACTTTTTTTTTATTTTTACCAATTCATATTACTATTTGAAAATCTTTACGACCACATAATAAGATTGAAAATTTGTTTCAATTATTTGTACATGTTTCAGGGGTACATATTATTTGAGGTCCCGTTGGACGTTTAACATAATTATATTTATTTTACTAGCAATAGGAAATCAATTCTGCCTTATCAATATTTTTTTTTTTTCATTTTAAATAGTAAACTTTAATTTAAAATTTGAATACAGCTAGGTACTTAAACATTGACTTTGCGAAAGTTTCTTAGTGTTGCTTTCGACCTCGCTACCGTAAAAATTGTCTTTTCACTTTTTTTCCTTTCCACTTATATTCTTAAACACGCTTACATACGTGTTTTCACAATAAACATATTCAAGGTTGCACGAAATTCAACATTCATACTCATACGCCTGTTTGTTGGAACTGACAATGGTCAGGTCTTTCGTCATAACAATTTGCCTACGATTATGCGTTATTTACATAACAAATTAGTTGCTTTTTTCTGTCGCCGTCGGCGTGCATCAAACTGTATTATCATGAATTGTTAAACAAACGTATTATGTAGCCAGTTTAGAATTATGGCGAGTCGTATATTTCAGTGAAAATGTTTGTTTTCCGCACGTTAAAAGAGTTTATATTCATATCTTGATTTACATCAACTTATTGTACAACTTAAGATCCTTTTCGGTGTTATTCAGCTATCACATTGCATACACAGTTACAATTATATAGGTAGGTACACTGGTCGCTCGAAAGAGGTTTTATTTAGAGCACTTGAAACTTGAAAACCTTGGCATTTACTTTTAAATTGACATAAATTATTTCTGTACTTGAAACATAAGTAATTGTAGCGTTCATGATCGTTCTACACGTAAAATTTAATGCTAAGCAGTTCTCATGGATAGACGGTGAGATTAATGAGGTGGTCAGAAAACCACACCCTGTGTCATGTTCTCAAATTAGATGACGTAGCTCGCTACTAAGACTTAACGTTACGTTCGGGTTCGTTAAATATGTCCCATATGAAGAATAAGACCATTTTCATGGTTCCGTACCCAAAGGGTAAAACGGGACCCTATTGCTAAGACTCGTAACAAATATTAAAAAAAAATTTAACACCGTTTGTAGATAAGTACTATTGATACACTTTACAATCATTGTGAAAATTTATTACAATAGATTTTTTTTAAATAGGCATCAGGATCAAAAAAATACAAAAGTGATTAAATCATCACAATAGCATGAGCCATTACATTATAGGAATATCTATAAAGATCACAGAATAACATTTATTAAAGTTACAATGACATGCGAAAATTAATCAATAGGACCAACTTATTTCTAAATTATTTTGACAGTGCCGAGTTATTTCCGTGGCTTTTACATACCATGAAGCAGTAATAACCGGCAGATCTAAAGCACTGCCCACATCGTTCTCGATAATGTTCGTTGAATACGTAACAAAATGTCAAGACTTTTAAGTGGTGTGTGGGAAGTGGTCGTAGTTTGTGCGGTGACTGATACACGTGTTTTTAAATTGATACTAGCTCATTACCAACTCGATGTAAGTTTTTAATCTAACGAGGTTATAATTTATTTGCATTTTTTGGATTAAAAAGTGTTTAAGCGAGCGGACGGTTCACTTGATGGTAATTGACTACCGTCGCTCATGGACATCTACAATGGCTGGTGGCTCCAATGACCTGAAGAAAAGTGATAGAATATATATTTCCACTTCACGCCAATTTTCTGTGAGACCGTGGTTCAACCCCGGACGAGTCTACCCATTCGTGCAGCGAAATAAGAATGATTCTAAATTTCCTTCTTATTCGCGTAGCCCGTAGCGGGTTAAAGGGGAAACAACCTTCACACACTATCACGTTTATTGATCTTATAATGTATAGATAGTGCGGCCATCATAAAAAGTTTGCTTATGTTTAATAATAAAACACAAGCTAGGGCGTTTTGATTCCTGAAATGAAAGACTGTGAATTGAAGACATTGAGATTGAAAGACGGATCATCGTTTATAATTGATCAGAATGATCAATTCAAAGAATTTAAAAATCGTTTTGGCATCTTAACAGTACCTGGAGGACCGAGCTCTGCTCGGTTTTTTTTTTTGGTAAATCGTGTATTTTGGAAATTAAAAATTAAAAAAATAAAGAAAGCAATGATCTGGTATAGAAAAAAAAGTAAAAAGAAATAAGTGCGTAAAAACATTTTTTTTCGGCGAAATTTACCGCCATATTCGAAGGATATTTTTCATACTCGGAAAACAGGGATAAAAGGACATTTCCTAAAAATGAAACCATATATATATAAAACCTAAGCTGATTAGTTTACTTTTACGATGATCAGTGTGTCAGAAACCGGGCGCGAGATTATTAAATTTATATCAAATTTTAACATAATATTTGGTTTTTTTCTAATTTTTGTGGTATACTCTGCACTTAAGTTGAGACTTAAAATGTGTAGATATGACGGACGACATGTAATCTGAAAGTTATTTTATAAATTAAAAAATGACTAGTATTTCTGAGATCCTGAGTATTATTTTAAGTTGAACATTAATTGTCGAAAACCTATCGTATCTACTTGTATTTCTGTATTACTTATCTTACAATCCTAACTAATAACTACTTTTAAATGTTTCATTGCTCACTGATAACAAATAAATACAAACCTGAGAAACTAAATTCAATACAAATTCATTTCAAAACTCCAAACGTTAAGTACATAACATTTCAAAACTCCAAACGTTAAGTACAGTAACATTCATAATTTCCAAAGGGCAACCGTCGCTAACTTAGTCACGATTTGATAGACGCGAGTTTTACAAAGTATTGATTACCGCAAAAGCTTGCCGCGAAGTACTTAATAAGCATCTTGTATTTTGCCTGCATGAAACTGCTAAACGTCAAGTTTCTTGCAAAAATTAGAAGATAAAATGAAATTCTGAAAGGTGTAATAAAATAAACAATTCTGTTAAATCTGACATTTATAAGGCTATGATAATTTCTTGTATTTACGCAATTCTTCGTTATAAATGAAACTAATTTTTACGGATTTATCGTGTTTAATTTTATTTTAATTCCCGAAATTTCGTACCCTGTACAGCGTTCATGGTCATGGGACAGACTGAGGCGTTGGACGTCTGATTGTCAAAGTTAACCCGGGCTACCGTCAGTTTTTGAATTATTTAATTTTGTGTCCGATCTATGCAGAGGGTAGCTAAATGTATCTTGCCTTGCAGTCGTGGGTCGTTTGGGCCTAGATTTAATTTTATTGATGATAGGATCCCAAGTTGATGGTAACACCCAACCCTCTTCTCTATTGAAATTAGGGTGTCTCTTTTAGGGTGTTTTTAGGCTATTGAAATTAGTTTCATTTATTTATAAGACTGTGTTAAGAACATCTTTGTTTTACAAAATACGTTTGCGTTACTTTACAATTAAAATGAAATGTTCTATCAAATACCAGTAGAGTAGGTATTAATGTATACCAATGTATTTAAAAAGAAGATTCTATGAATACCAAACGATTTACGATTATTTTTATTTAAAGTGCTAGGTGCAACCAAGGTGAAACTTAAATGCGTTTAATAGATAAATTGTCGAAAAATTCGCCTCGCTGCTAAGATTCACATTCACAAATAAAACAATATTATAACAATAATTAAGATATTTTTGCGATACAAAATACCAGCATTCGTACATTTAGGGATTGCTGCAAACGGTCGACATTTGATCCAAACTGTTGTTCAAGGCAACGCTCGGGCTATGCAATTATTTTTCATTGTTCAAGCTTTACTATGAAACACCATGGGAAACCGGTGATGTTTTGTTACTTCATTATCAATCGGGCTTACGCCATTGGCTTCAAGATGAATGACGTTACGGATTTTCCTTCCCAAAACTTATTTTTAAGCAACACGATAGACACATTATCGTAGTGTGATCCAATGAGTCGTACGAGTTTGTAGAATGTAATTAGTTTATAAAAGTAATAATATAACAAAGGGTTTTTTTTTTTCGAAAATTTTACTAAAAAAACATAACTCTCTCTATCAATATACTCTCTATCAATTAAATTGACTCATTTGTCCATGTACACTGTATGAACAAAATATGTTATAAAAAACTATTTGTGTTTAAAAAAAACAGTTTAGAGACATAGCAGATTTATATATAAAATTATGTTGAATTTACTATTCCTAATATGTATCTAGTAGTTAGTAAATAACTATTAGTGTACTAGGTAAAAACTATTAATGTTTATATCACCATCCTTTCAGTCCAATTGCTACGATATCAAAAAACTATTAAGCGTCTATGGCCTCTCATTACCATTTAAGAATATTTATCGTTAAAGCATATTTTGAATTGACATTTAAACTTAAATATGCGTCAACGATTTATTCAACCATTTATTGCAAATTATTATCGGACCACATGAACAAAATGCATCGATCGCCATTGCCCTACCTGCTCACTTTGCGAAGTACACAAATATTTCGTGCGATACGATTTGCAAATAAAGTTCAGATAATGCCGCACTTGCAACACCATAGAAAAGCAGACAATGTCTAAAACCCGCCTAGAAACGTGCCTTTTGACTTTCATCATATGACCATAAACTCACCGATGGTAGAAATAGAACAGCTTTAGACAGTTTCACGAAACATATAGCAAAATTGTAGCCTCTGTTG